GCAGAGTCCACTCTGTGGACTGAAGACTCTGAGGTCAGACTCCAGGTTTTAGTGGTTAGTTCAGATCAGAGGATGAGCTGAAAGCTGTGCTGACATTAAATGGTTAACAGGAGCCTTTTAAAGATTCCTACTGAGAGTCTTCATGTTTAAATGTGATGTAAATTCATTAAAGATTCCATTAGAATGACAGAAGAAGCCATATTTCATTAAACAGTTAGAAACTCAGCTCCTACAGAGCTCATTATTCCTGTTCCTCCTCTCCACCACCAGACTGCTCTCATGTGTTATTGAGTCGTTGCTTTGGGATTAACAGTGATTTATAAAAGAACTTTCATTTAACTGTTGTAACCTGCATCCTGTTGGCTTCAGCTCACATCTTTTACTCTTTATTCAGGCTGCAGTGCTGTGGGTTGTCCAACATCAGTGGGGCTTCTCTGGTCTCAGCTCTGAAGTCCAAATCCTCCCGTCTGACAGAACTGGACCTGAGATACAACCACAACCTGCAGGAATCAGTCACAAAGGAGCTGTCTGAGCTGGTGGAGAGTCCAGAGTATAAACTGAAGACTCTGAGGTCAGTTTACTGAATGGAACTGTTGGAGGTCTTTATATTTTCCTACAGTTAAACTGATGGATCTTCATCCAGATGTTTGAGTTCATGTGAGGAAACACAGATGATCTTTCTTAAATGCTCACACTTAGAATCTGCAAGCACATCAAAGCATATTCTATAAAATGTATTGTCCCTTTTTCATTTCTCCTCAGATTAGAGCGCTGCTGTGTGTCAGATATCAGCTGTGCTCCTCTGGCCTCAGCCCTGGAGTCCAACCCCTCTGACCTGAGAAAACTGGACCTGAGCAGGAACAACCTAAAGGATTCAGAAGTGAAACAGCTATGTGGTCTCCTGGGAAGTGATCTTTGCAGACTGGAGTCTCTGAGGTCAGAAACTATGTTTAGTTGTATTTCAGGATCAGTGTGATGTAAAATGATGTTAAACTTTGTGTCAGACTGATGTTTCCCTGATCCAGACTGAGCATCATCACAGTAACGCTGTACTGATGCTGGTTTTATCCAACTATGTTCAGTTCCTCTTAGACTGAGCCTAAACATAAGTTTAGTTGTCATTAGCATCCTAACATGCAGCAGAGCATCAGCAGGTCAATTAAATGAGTCAGATGAAGAGACGACACAACGCTGTAACTGGTGGAAAAGAAAAATGACGTGCAGAGCTGAGCTGAATAGACGCCAGTGAAAATGGGCCTTATCTGTTTTACATGTTTTTATTACATGTCCTTGTTTTAGTGTGTATCATTATGATTTAAGAAAGATAGGATTATTCTACACTATCCTCTATTTCTGTGCCTCATTCTATCAAATATTCAAACATTCAAATATTCAAGCAGCAGCATTAATGTGAATGAGAGCTCTTTTTCTCTGGTTCTGTTTGACTGTTGTAACTTGCATCCTGTTGGCTTAAACTCACATATTTTATTCTTTATTCAGGTTGGAGAACTGCAGTTTGTCAGAGACCAGCTGTTCTTCTGTGGTCTCAGCTCTGACGTCCAACCCCTCCCATCTGACAGAACTGGTCCTGAGCCTGAACCCCATGTCTGAGTGTGTGATGAAGGAGCTGAGCAGCTTTCTGCAGAGTCCACTCTGTGGACTGAAGACTCTGAGGTCAGACTCCAGGTTTTAATGGTTAGTTCAGATCAGAGGATGAGCTCAAAGCTGTGCTGACATTAAATGGTTAACAGGAGCCTTTTAAAGATTCCTACTAATAATTTATGTTTAAATATGATTTTCACTTGTTTTTAGGTAAACATTTATTGACAAGAATCCAATAAAAATGTTTCACCTTCAGCTCAAACATTTTTATTGAACGTCATTTCCTCGATCGACTCACGTGCACGCGCGCATATGCCCCTGGACTCACGCCTGTGGGAGAGCTGAGTGAAGCTGACACCCCACACACTTAAAACATTCCTGCAAATAGATCAAATTATTTGTGCAGTAAAAAACGTCGTCTGTGTTGCTTTTGTTTCTGAGATATTAAAAATCATAATTTTAGCCGGTGACGTCACCACTGGTCAACATCGGCAACTTTTTCAGAAAAAAGCCAGCATGGTCTTCCTTTTTAGTGTTCCATTTGTTCTTGGTTGAATAATTTTATTAATAGCTGACAACAAAAGTGGCACATTACAGTCACCAGCTGGTGTGGAGTGTGGAGCAGAATGTCACTCAGAGGTTAATTTTGGAATTGTCAGATTTTGTTGATGCAGGAAAGGACATCAGGTAGGTCACTTACTTCACTGAAAAGCATTGGGGCAATCAAAGTTGACTTTTTTAATTAACTTGTCACAGCGGTGTTATTTAGCTGGGTTTTTTTTTGTCCTGTCTCCATGTGGTCTCGACTTTTCCTGTTTTATTTTGATAAGTAACCCTCATCTCGTTTCAGGTCAATTGCACTTCCTGGTGTGTCATCTATACTTTCAAAGGAGAATAAACACTTGGGATTTTGAAAATTAACTTTATAAACGCTGACAGTGCCCCCCCC